AACACACACCCCTGTCTGATGCTGGGAGATCAGCTCCCTCTTCCATGATGCTTCTTTTAAAGAAATTAGACCACCTCTAATAATTAATGTTTGTCTTCGGTATATTGTGACAGAGGGGGAAACAGATGATAGGGAATGTTGTTGTTTGTGGAATCGAGGAATTGTTTTCCTTTAAAGCATGATGGCCTCCATAAAATAAGAAAAGAAGGGAAGGGGGGGCAAATGATTAGTGCGCTTAGTCAGCTGTGAAATTGAGTTTATGGTTTTCAAGACGGTGAATTCAATTCGATAATGGGTATTAAGTTGTAGGGAATAATTAATAGTAATTGACTTCTTTCCATCACTATGCAAATTAAACACAGATAACACCACAGGAGCTTTTTAAGGCCAGTCAAGTTTGTAGGGATTAAGTTTGTTGAATTTTTTTCTTTTTTTAATGTCTAAGAGGGGAGTGGCTCCTGCTCCGCTTTGATTGCTTTGTTGACAGATTTATCAGTGGGTGAAGGGTTACCGTCTCTTCGGGGATTAAAGGAATTGGGTTGTCACAAACTGTCAAGGCATTGAGCTTGCAAGCATTCTGGTGTATTTGTCATAATGGGCTCAGGCTGTTCTCCTTCGCCCTGTCAGATATACTTTCTCCAAACCACATCTGCAAATTGGAGAAATGAAAAAGGGAACTATTGGATGGATGGATGGTGCTAAAGAAGATCCAGCGGGGAAGGTGTTTCTTAAGGAATCAGGCAATTTTCTTTCATTTTGTGGAAATATAAGTCTGCATGCAAACGTATTAGAAAGCTGTAAAAACAGGACTTTTCTGGAACTATGATCCTCCTGTGTCATTAATGTCAAAAACAACAGAACAGAAGGCTTAAATCATCACAGAAATAATCAGAAAAGATTACTTTCAGCTTTACTGAAGCTTTTTTTTTATTTCAGGAGTGCACAAATCATTTATATAAATCTAAAAATCTAGAATATAAATAACAGAAGAAGGTCAAATCAGAATGACATTTAACTCACAAGAGAGATGAGTGACAGAAGAGCAGCTGCGGCCCACAGACATGTGGTCTTCATGCCTCTCTGTGGAGCATCCCCTCTCATGTCAGCTTCCCCTGATCTTCTCATTTTTTTCCAAAACGAAAAAAAAAAAACCCTTGAAAGAATCTCCTACAGACTTAGTCGTTATCAGCTTTTAAACTTAAGGAGGAGACTCAGAGTGAGAGAGGTGGTGTGAAGGAGGGTAGGATCTTCTCAGGCTCATCCAGGAGGGGTCATCCAGGCATCTGCTGCTTTAACTGGCTCTGCAGTCAAAACAGAGGCGCTTTCACGTCTGATTGTCAGTGTGGAGGGATGTTTTATACTAGAAGGGAGAGAGTTGGGGAGGACAGAGAGAGAAATGGAGTGGAAAAGAGGGAGGGGGAACAAGGTAGGAGGCTCACATTATTGATTTTTGAGACACAACTTTTCTGTTTGCATCATCAATTGCTGACATCTAGTGGTGGTCATCTGGAAAGGCACCTGCTCATTGGATCTGTAAAAGAGAGGAAATCGTTAACTGTGCCTCCACCATAGAGACAATATGATTTTCTTAGCTTTAGTTTTCTAACTGGAAACAATAATACAGTTTTCTTTACAAATGCAAACATAAAAAAATTGGCATCCATATGTATTCTGCCCCTATACTCTGAGGCCTCTAAATAAATCCAAGGCAAGCAAAGAATTTCAAAATTCATCAAACTCGTTTAGAGGATTAACCTGTGCATTATTAGTTTCAGCTGATCAATATATGCCCCTTAGTTTATCAGAGAATAGAGAGTAGTCCAGACCTGAGTACAGCAGGGAATGTGATAAGGCTGGAAGGAGCTGTAGCTTAAAAAACAAAACAAAAAAGAATCCCCTTCAACAAAACTTTCCCTCAAAGGGGCTGAGTGTTCTTTTTAAAATACATTTAAAATGTTTTATCTTTGGAAAAATCTGCATTTACAGTACATTTAGTGATATAATGTTGATTACTCTGCCTTTTACCTCATAGAGGGATGAATGAGGCTTTCAAAATGCAATCCTGAGTTTGGATAAGACTCTAAAATCATTAGACCCAGCAGAACAGCCTGATAGCATCTTTTGTTCTCTATCCAAGGAAATGCCCTCATCTTTTATTCTCTATCTGCAGGAGTGCAGAGCATGTTATCTTTGAAACTTGATACTTTAAAAAACTTTTACTCTTGTCACTGAGACCCCCTTCCCAAATTTAATGTCAAGAGAAGTGTCACATTTTCCATTTAAATATGTGTTTGCCTTATAACCTTTTATTTTTCCTTTTGATATCTGATTCATTTACCGTTTGAAGTTCTTTTGTGTATTTATTTATTTTTTAACAGTTGATTACTCAATATACATATTTAACCACTTAATAAAAACCTCATTTGTAGGCTTCATAAAGAATAAAGCACTGAATGAAGCTGAAACTGGCTTCCTTTTTTAAGGTATAGTGTTGTTTTACTGCTTTTATTCCGTATCTGGTGTAACTTAGACCACCTCTGTTTCTTTTTTTCTTTTTTTTTTTTTGTAAATGTTCTCTCTTCTAAATAACTCTAGAATAATGTTATCAAAATATTTATTCTTTAAGGTGTAATTTTATAAACTTTACATAGTTTGTAACATCAAGAAATATTCCATACTGCATTTATTTTTAATTTTTTTTTTTCCATGCTCAATTTTTTTCTTAGTTTTGACTTTTTACAGGTATGGAAAATGTTTAAAGATATTTTTTTTTTTTTTTACAATTTTAAGAATGAGTAGTTATCCAGAAAATATATTTTTAAAAGAATAATTAGATCATAAATTTACTTTTTTCAGATAAAAATATGCACTGTATGCTTTTAGGATAGAGAGATCTGATCCATTTATTTCCAATCGAATACCGATACATAGGCTGAGCATATCAGCCGATATCTGATAGTGATTTAGTACTGCTGCTAAATTAATTAAACCATATACCTTGCTTTGTGAGTAAAGGCCTCATACTTAAATTTAACACTGATAAAAAAAGGTAACAAATTAACAGAGATACAAATCATCACTAGCTGCTGTGTGCGCTCTGCGTGTTGTGATCAGCTTTCCAATCATAACACCGAAGTCACTTAAACTCAGTTTTTCTGAAGATGTTTAGAAACCTGTCCCTGAGTCTTTAATTATTTCGGCTTCCAGTAGAGCGTTGTGATTGCTATGACTCAGATGACTGAGAATTTATACAGGTAATTTGATATATGTCTACATCAGTTTGAGTGTTACTTTCCCTCACTCAGTTCACATCCCTGCTTATCCCCCTCAGCTTATACCTACATTTGGCTGGTCTCTTACCCACTTTTGTCACTTTTTTTTTTAGATCTAAATAGTCTGGTCGGAGTTATGTGTTTACATTGGCTTTAGATCCAGTTTAAATGAAGAATCCATTCTGGCCCTATTTGGAAAAGTAACTGGATTAAACCTAAAACCCGACATCAAGCACGTGCAACAACTAGCAGTGAGTCTTTCTAGTGGCTTTGCAGGAATTTTCGGTAACAGATTGTTTAAGGTGACGTCCCACTTCATCAATCATTCAGTTGTTGACTTTGACTAGGCCATTCCAATTCTTGCTTTTTAACTTTAGCCATTCGATGGTGAACTCGCTGTTATACTTTCAATCATTTTCCTGCCCCATAACCCATGTGTCCTTGAGATTAATGTAATGGACTGATGGCTTGGCCTTCTCCTTCAGGATGTCCTGATAGAGGGCAGATCTCAGTTTAATTGGAAAGTCACCTAGCTAGTAAAAGAGCAAAGCAGCCATCATTAAGCTACAACTAGTCTTTTAACTCTTATAAAACAGTTTCTGTAAAAACTAACTGGTAGTCTATTTGCCCTATACATTTAAGTGTTTCCCAAAACTTTGTAACATATCTAGAGTCGGTCATCAGCCTGCTAAGTTTGACTAGTTTTTGCCTAACTTTTGTCAGCAAAAAAATGTTTTAAAACCCACAATTCTTTACTTTTTTTATCAACACCATTAAATGTTGAAATCTGTAATATATTTACAATGTTTTCATGAATGTCAAAAACACATGAATGACTAGAGAATAAATAAATAAATTGCTATTTCCTTTTTCTAATGGAACTGTCTAGTGGTGAGCATTTCTTTTAGAACATGCATTCGTTATTGGCTGCAGGGTAGAGGTGTAGTAATGCATTTCTCCATCCACACCCTCCTGTCTGTGCATGGTCACTGGTACTGTACCTTTCTCCAGCAGTCATTGGATCAGTGCTGCCCTGTGGAAGTTCCTATATTTTGACAGATAGTGTCTGGTATGTTTAATGCTTTTCTTTTGTAGATACAGGAGGGCTGCTTTACCTTCTTAAATTCATTATAAACATCAGTGCGTTGATCCTAAACTTTACAAAGTTTGTAGACTTATTGGCATCATTCGGTCATAGCATCTACAAGGGGTCATCAACGCCCTTTGTCTGTGTGGTTGATCTCATTTATGGACAATAAAACTTTAAATGATTTTGACTTTCTTTGACAAAAAGGCTACAGCTAGTGCTAGAATCTGGGGTGTGCATGCTCGGGAGCGAGTACAGGGCTGCGCATGTGCTTTTTTTTTCTTTTAAAGATGAGAGCGCAGGTCTTTACAAAAATTCACGAAAGTCCTCCACAGTACCTTATAGCTAAAAGTGCAACAACTTAATTTTCCATCATTGTTAAAACAAAAGTGAAAAAATTATAAATAAATGATAGGTCTAAGGGACCTATCATGTACGGTTTCTATGCTAGCACATATCATTTTTTCATCATACATTTAGTTGGTATTATGTCTTTACTACAGGGGCTATAACAGGTCTAGAACTACCCCTGCACCTGCTTGTTCTTTTATCTCCTTTAAAGTACCGGTAAGCCTTTTGAGACACTTTCATTTTCAAAAATGACGCAGTCACAATATGTTTATGTTGACAACCGTGTCCGCATTTATTTTCAGTAATTCTTTCCATATATGAACAACCTGTACAGAACAACCACCTCTCTTCCTCTTTTCATTCCCCTCGGGTTTTTTTCTTAGTCACAACATACAACTTGCATCATGGTTACAACAATCAGCAATATCATACACCCACTTTGCAATAATCAAACTAACGTTTTCTGTGCAATACAAAATAAATTTACACATACTTTTTTTTTTCCCAAAAAAATAAAAAAGTCATTGTTATTTACAGATTTCACGAAAAAAAGTAAACATTCTCCACACAAGTTTGCTTTTACACTGAACTCAGAGGCATATTCTTATTAACATATTGTATAGTTCATTTGTACAGGGTATCTTTTATATATTTCATCTCAATGTAGTGAGACTGTAACATTAGAGCATCTATAATGTGGGTACTACATGTGAAAGCTAGATGAACTGATTCGCCTAGATGAGGGAAAATTAGTCATTTTTTCTGCTTGTACTGTATATTATCTGCCTAATCAAATATTCAGAGCAGCTCTTTAATTATCTTTAAGGCAGAAATGATGTTTGCATGACATGAATGGCTTCAGTTTCTCTTTCAAAGCTGCTGCGAAACTTCCCTCTCTCCTCTACATGTTTTAGTTCAGGGAAACAATCAATAAATCGTTTTAGAACTGGCAGTTTTTTTTTTTAAACGCACTTACATCTGGGTAAAAATAAAGTGGAAACACCAGACGGAGTCTAAAAAGAACCCACAAAAATTTACTTTACTAAACCAAAAACTCTGCTGCAAAATAATGAAATCTATACAGATATTTACTGGTGGATCACACCTGTTTTATTGGACTGTTTTGTGTTCCCCTGTTGCTTTCGTCGTCCCTCTGCTGTGTGGTTCTGTTTGTGGTAGAGGCAGTGTTTTATGGCAATAGAAGGTAGAAGTCACATATGCATATCATGCTGCACTAATATAGTGCAATGTAGAGCCTGAAACAAAGCAAGGGTGGAGGCTGGCAGGCAGTGGTGTCCGCCAGCAAGTGATAACGGGCTGCTTCTTCATCAGCATCACATGGATCAGTTTATCCCACAAACACAGGCCTGTGTGCCTCTGAATCAAGCAGAAATAAAGGAGAAGAAATGCCTCCCTTTTGTTCAAGACTGAAAAAAAGAGATTTGAGTCAAAACCCAGTTGAGGATTGAGGGGAAAAAGGAATCCAAACCTTTTGATGGAGATTTTACTCTCCCTCCTCCTCTTCCCTGCGGTGACTTTTGGCAACATACAAACCGTCAGAGCGTCCAAAGCCTCCAGCTACTCAGCATTTTCAGGGACAAGCAGAAAAGCGCGGGGGTGAAAGAGTTGGATCTGGTGCTGCCATGTTTGGAAAAGGGGGAGAGATGGAGACTCCCATCTGCACTCCTGAGTCTCAGTAAGGGACACATCAGGGGTTAAGAAGGCTTTTTACTCAACAAGCTGGAGGTCATGAAGGTTCTGGTTAAGAAAAATAGAATAAGACTTAATCAAGCTCAACTGAAACCGTTTAACCCAGCAGTGTCTTTGCTAAGAGGATTTGAAGTGATTTCTTTTTTCTGTTGTGTCCATTCACGCTTCTAACGTCCATGTCCCTCACTGTCATGGCGTAATGAAGGGGGTCTCCTTTGACGGGTGTAGAGGCTCTACATGTCCGTGTCACCGTCGTAGGCGAGCGTTAGAGGTTTTAGCCGGTTGTTCTGCTGCCTCTGTCTCTGAGGTCTCTTTGGCTTTTTGCTGCAAGAAATATTGAAAGAGGTTAGAGACTCTTAACTCACTAACAATCAGGATCAGGGGGATGGAACGAGCTGTGATGAGTGTCAAGCAAATGAGGATGGAATAAAAGAAGTTATGAAGCTGATCCTGGAGAGCTCATTTAAGTGTTAAAACTTCAATGCCTTGCTGATTTCTTTTCTTTTATTATAAAGTAGTATACAAAACCTGAAGCATGATTCAGAATTTTTTTCCACCTCAATTGCGACCTGATTTTTAAACGTATTAAATAAAATCCTGAAATTGGAAGAAAAAAAACATTGTTTAAGTTGCAGCAGAAGCACTATGACATTCTTTGAATCTTCAAACCTAGAATACATGCAAACCAAATGTTCTATAGACCACTTACTGACTTTTAGCAACTAGTGGAAGCAAATTATAAACAAAGGTCCCAACCAATAATATTGAAGAATTTCTCACATTTTAGTGCAACAACCAAAAGAGGCTGTAATTTATTTACCTGTAAATTCCATGTTCACATAAATGAACAGAGTCAAAGTTTGTCATTTGCTAAATCCTCCTTTAGTCATCGCCTTTAGTAACTGGTCATTCAGCCCTGTTTTTTTAAATTCCCAATAATTCAAGTTCAACATGGATTGGTCTATCACAGTTTTTTTATGGACTGAAGAGTCTCTTTCTGCAATCTTATACAAAAAAACAATAACCATGTAAATTGTAACAGGTTAAAGAAAACTAAACAGGTTAAAAATTATTTTTCAACATGTTTTACAATTTTTTTGATTGGATCCAAAATCAAAACATTAATATAAACTAGATTAATTGCACAGTCCTATTATATGACAAGGTTAAGTCATTTCAGAAATATATTATACATATTTTGAAATATTTTCTCTTTAAAAGGAATGGTCCCTGTACAGTTTGTCTTTGCATAAATTGTTTAAAAAGCAAGCAGTGGCTTACATGGCTCAGAAGAATCAAAAGAATCTTTACAAAAGCCTAAAGTCATTAAATTTGCATGTAAAAACTCCACACTGGCTAGATCTGCTCCTTTTGCCTCCTGGAAAAGAAAGACCTTTAGAGACAGATGTAAAGACATGATTCCATCCATTTATCTGAGCTGTCAGCTCTGCAGGAGTCATGTCTCAGAGTAATGTGCTGTAAAATTATCCTCCAAGAACAATCTAAAATGACAAAGACTAATATTTTCCACATAACTAGTTTTACAGATTTAAAATCTTGATTCCTTTAAACATATCTTTCTAAAAACCCTCTGTACAATAAGATGTGAAACAACACCTTGATCAGTACTGAGAAGCGAGTTGTAGAAATGTTTTTATATTTATGGGAATATGTTAAGTTTATTGTAGAACAATTGAAGAGTAATATGTTTGCCAAAATATTTGAAAAGGTTTTGAATTAAACTCTCAAAACAGGCATTGCTCTTTAAGTTTAAACTGATGATATTAAGGGATCATGAATAATATGTTTTCATTTTAAAATAAAGCTAAAGATTTTTACTGAAGCTTAGACAGGAAATGGGGGATAGACTGTAAGTCATCATTTGAACACAAGGGGGTAGTGTTGCATCATGCTTCAGAGGAAACTGAAACAACCAGGCTGATATCAGTAACTTTCAGCTAATGACTTTGAATCTGCTGTTAAAAGTGGGATCTGAAAAATAAACAAACAGAAAATATAATATTGAAAACTTATGTTAAACATTCATGGGTGTTCAGAAGTATGCGGAAATACTAATACTAATAAAAGTAAAAATTATTGATAGGTTAGTTAAGTTGCAAAAAAAAGCTGTAAGGCTTATTAATAAGGTGGGATACCGTGAACCAACTGATAAACTCTTCATTCAAAGCAACACATTAAAATTCAAAGATATGTATATAAAAATACTGGAAATTATGTATAAAGCAGTGAACAAAAGTCTTCCTTCTGGTATTCAGAAATTATTTGAGTTAAGAGAGAATAAATATAATTTGCGAGGTGGTTTTATATTTGAATTTGCAAAAGAGAAGAGACGGATAAAGTCTAGATATGTTTCAATTATTGGGGTGAAACTGGAATGAATTGAAAGATGATTTTAATATGATAAAAGCCTATGTTGTTTTATATAATTGAATATTTATATATGTACTGTGAAGAACCTGGTAGGTTGTAAAGGTTGTAAGTATAGAACAGGGTAGGCAAGAATCATTTTTTTTGGTAATTTGTGGGTTTGTTTATTTTTTCTTTTACTGTTTCCTGTGTTTATGAATAATGGATAATTTATCAAAAATAAAGTGAAAGTAAAACATATGTTAAACAGAGCAGCACAGAAACAGACATCCTACCACATGGATTGAGAGGAGCTCCAGTGTTTCCAAGGTGACACTATGCTCTGGGGTGTATATGACATTAGATGATATCTGGTGCTGTCTTCAAGTAGACTGCAAATCTTTTTAAATGTCTTTTTTTGTCTTATCCTGGATCCTATCCATGACACACATCCTTCCTCAGTTACAAACTGTACAGCCTTAAACATATATTACCAGTCACCACTATGCTACTGATTCTAAACTTTTAGAAAAAAAATCTGACTTATTTTTTACTTCTGTTTGTCAATAGGGAACCTCACATCAGAGAACAGAAAAAGGTGGGGTTCCTCAAGGCTCCGTTTTAGGGCCATTTCAACATCTACATTCTCCCCTTAGCTCAGATCATAGCTAAAAACATCAGTTTTTATAGCCATGAAGATGACGCACAGCTTTATATCACAATGTATCCAAGTGAACCCATCAGAGCATTGGCTCGATGCTTAGAACAGATCAGTATGTTAATGCGTCATCATTTTCTCCAACTGAATAAAAACAAAACTGAGGTAATAATCTTCAGACCAAAGTAAGAGGGATCCACAGTTAGCTCACAGCTTCATCCACAACAGCTAGAAACCACTGATTATGGCAAAAACCTTGGTGTCATGATTGACTCAGACCTGAAACTTCAGAGGCTCATTAAAGACAGCTAACAGGTCAGCCTTTTATCACCTGAAGAACAAGTCCAGGATTAAAGGACTAATGTCCGAACAGGATCTAGAAAAACTCATTCATACATTTATGTTTAGTAGAAGTAATGCTGATAACTGCGAAAGTGTCTTCATAGGTTTGCTTAAAAAGTCCATCAGGCAGCTGCAGCTGATCCAAAACGCTGCTGCCCGTGTTCTCACTAGAACAAAGTAGAACACATAGGGCCGGTTCTGAAGTCCTTCCTCTGGCTCCCTGTTGCTCAGAGAATAGACTTTAAAATATTTCTGTTAGTCTGAAAATCACTCCAGTCTACTCTGTTCACCCAGAACTACAACAAACTCCCAAAAGACTGGAAAAGTGCTGAAAGCCTGAGTTCTTTAAAGTCAAAATAAAAAACTCATTTGTTAATGGCTGCCCTTAACTGTTGAAGTTAAACTGCTAACTGAGGTATTGTTTGTTTAGGTTTGTGGTCCAATTATGTTATTTACTTTAATTCAGTTCCTGCTTTTATCATGTTTGTTTTTTTTGCTTTTATTCTGCTTTCATTTTTCTTACTTTCTTGTTCAATGCATTTTAAGAACTTACTTTGAATTGGCCTTTTACTGAATTGTGCCATATAAGTAAACTTACTTTGTAGAAATGTAGAGAAGATAAAGTAGAATAAAGGATCTATGACAATAGAGTTTAGTGCAGTCTTCTCCAAAAAACTGAAATATAACAGAAAAACTAACTTAGTGTCCTGGAAATCCATAGACTGGCTTTATAACAAGTTGGTCTTTTATTCATTTGAGTAAAAGACCAGATGAGATGGGGAGATGAAAAATGATGCTTTTAGTATCTACTAAATACTTAGCTAGCAGCTAAGAATCATCCCAGCGACATGCCCACTTAATACTGTGTGTTTAATGTTTGTGGTAGTAAATAGTTCTTGATTGTGGCCCAGCATGGACTGACTGAACAATACAACAAATGTGAATTGGATTTCTCCCAAAATCCCTGAGATCTTTCATGAGAGCGTATAATCAGTGCTACCATAAGCTTAATCTGATTGAAGTTGGTCCTAATGCAAAACAAAGAGCTGTGAAGTCACACTTGTTTGTGTTTTTGCTAGAGTTCCACAATACATCAAAATTAAATTGGTGTGAATTCATACTGTGTACAACAGAGATACATTTAGCCTGTTGGAACTGGGTGGCATAAGGCAGCTTAAGAAAGGTAATGATTCATTACAACTAATGTTAAAATATTAATCTACTGTAACTTACATGAATATTTTCTTGATGCTGGGCTGCCCAATTTTCCACAGAACAAGAGCATTACATTCCTATCAAAGTTATAACGAACAATCTTCTTTCAGCTTAGTGTTCAGGGAGGATCGTCATAAATAAACAGTAGTGCTTCTAGTATTTGTATATCTAGTTAGCTTAGGAAAGGCCTCAGAGGAGAAAAATAACGAGGACCTGGAGTTATCCAGGTCAGGTTTGATTAGTTAGTATCTTAGCTTTAATAATTTATTTCATTTGAACATTTACTTCCCAAATTAAGTACGGCAATCATTTTTACAGTATTTACATAATGCTGTTGTATTCTGTTTATCTTTTGATAAGGGACCCAAAACACTCCTATGCACGCATTTTATAGCAGGTTTTGGACTTTTTTAATGCATTTAGCAATAACGGTGCTAAATGTGAAAGAATTGACATAACTAACTGTTATGTTTCCTAATAAGTAATGTAACAATGCAATTTTACAAGGTATCTTTAAATCCCTACAATATTGATAATTTGGATCAGTTTAACTTTGCATCCGCTGATCATTTTCCCTTCATGATGTTTGCTATTAAAGTGTAAATGTCAATTTGAAATTTAAAGAACCAGCTAAACATTTTACGATATATCCCTGGATACCTACTCCAAGAAAAAAAAACAAAAAACATACGATTAGAGTATATAATTGTCCAGGAGTTTTTACGGGTAAACTTTTAGCTGGTATTTCTTTAGATGGGGGCATTATTCACTACTAAATAAAACTTGAATGTTTTATCAAACACCTGATTACAAATGAAACACAAATTTAAAACAAGTCAATCAGATATTAATACTTGGACTAGATTCTATGAAAATAATTCATCCTAAATAAACAGGGGTTATTAGGATCTATATCAGGCATCCCCAAACTCTGTCCTCGAGGGCAGCTGTCCTGCAGGTTTTAGAGGTTTCCCTGCTTTAGCACAGCTGATTATGATTGCAGTAGAGCAAAAGCCTGTTAATCAACTATCAATTAAAACCAGCTGTGCTGGAGCAGAGAAACCTCTAAAACTTGCAGGACAGCGGCCCTCAAGGACCGAGTTTGGGGATGCCTGATCTATATTATCTGTAACAGGGGTGCCCAAGTCTTGTCCTGGAAACCTCCTCAGCTCTGCAGAGGCCTGCTAAATAACCATGAATCTGATTCAGGAGGGTTGGAGAAGGGAAGCATCTAGAAGTTGTAGTATAGTAGCTATGGAAGACTTGACTTGGGCGTCCCTGATCTATACAAACTATGACAAGTTTACTGAGGAGCTACTTTTCCTCACCTGTACCTTCACCCGGCTACTCAGGCAGAAAATAGGGCACTTTTTTGAGCAGTCACAGGGAAACCCTGGGACTGCTGCTGCTTTAGAGTGGAGGGGGGTGTTGGAATGGGTCCGACACCTCCACATCCTCTTTAGCTACTATTGCTTTGAGCCAGCTCTTGGCACTCGGGACAGGTATAAACCATCTCATGAGAGTTCTGGCCATTCCACACCACCGTCCCGTTGGCGTCGGATTCTTGGGCCTTTAAAGAGCGATGTACCTTGACACAAAGGCTGCTGCTCTCGTATAGCAAACGCATAAAGGAAGCAAAAAAAATGATATAAAAATGAAGCCAATGACATGAAGGAGGGACACTGATGAACTCAAGGAGGGGGGATGGATAATAATGAGAGGCGTTTTGGTTTCAGGATTGGGGTTGATGAAAAATACTGAAGATAAAACTCATCAACTCACCAAGCTAGGTATATCATAGACACTATGAAAATGAGGAGTACAAAGGCTCCTGCTGCTACACCGTACACCCACATCTTCAGCTTCCCATCTGTGGAAGAGGAAGCTCATCAGTTAGTCATTTTTTAAACTCTCTAGCTCCTGTTTTATCTACTTTGATATCAAAATTAACATTGCATACAGATAAACAATGACAGTCCAACTAATTTAGCTCAGTACAGTTTTTCTAACACCTTTTGGAATTCAGGATATCAAGAAGAAGAATTTAAACCTGGAATTCTCAACCGTTTCTGAAGGTTTTGTCTTTTTATTTTTTCAGTCTAGCTTTTAATGCTTCCTTTGATCTTGAAAGGATCATTGGCAATCAACTGAAGTAGAATATCAGGTTTGTGTCAAATCTTTGATCACCTTTTTCTTAGAAAGATTACCTGGAGTTATCTATGTCAATGCTTCTTTAACATCTACTTGGTTTCTTTTTCTTTACCAGATGTGCAACAGTCGGGTACAAAAACTGGATTCAAAGAGTGACAAAGCCAAACTTCAAATGAAAGACCTTCAGAAAACCTGGAGACTTACTGATCGAGACCAGAATTAAAGATTACAATAATGAGTGACAGCTTTAAACTTAGCATGGCCTCGAGATATACCAAGGTTTGTAATTCTAAGTTTCAAAACCACATAGATTTTTCATCAAACCATCCTGGCTGTCTAAAGCAGGGGTCTCAAACAGTTTCCAGAAAGATTCGTGTGGCTGCAGGTTTTCTTTCCAGCCAAGCAATCGCACACCAGACTCCAATCATCTCATCAACTGAGGGCAATCAGAACGTGATGACTTGATGAGATAAATGGAGTCTAGTGTGCTATTGCTTGGTTGGAAAGAAAACCTGCAGCCACACGACCCTTTCTGGAACCGGTTTGACACCCCTGGTCTAAAGCAAACTCACAGACTCCAGTCTTTAAGGGACTGTGTCCTGTAGCTTTTATAAACGTCTGCTGTAATTCAATTTAGTTTATTTACATAGCACTATTTCACAACACCTCATCTTAAGGTAAATACCATCAAATTGGTTCAAAGATTTCCATCTAAGAAAAACCATCTGATTGCTTTGACTCATTGACTTGAAAGCAATCCCTCACACCAAGAATGCTTTTAGCAACAGTAGAGAGGAAAACTCAACACACCTGAATAAAGCTAAACTTTTGATTCAGGTAGGTAGGGCAAGGAACACGCATTCAAGTCACAGAACACTAGCCCTCCATTTGAGTTTGAGACCACTGGTGAAAAGTACTGTAGAGGTTGGAGTTCACCAGGAGCAACTGATGTTGCTGCACACAAAAGGCAACTCTCTAAATGAAGTACTAGATCTTTCCTTTGCTTATGAGACAGAAAAATGTGGTCATTTTAAAACTATTATATTTATAGAAAACACAAACAGTCAGAATCCAGAAAAGAGAGGATGCCCTGTCAGTCCAAGTCACACTTTCCGAACTTCAGGTGCATTTTAGCTGCATTTTTTAAGAAACCAAGGTTGATATTCAGAAAAAGTAACGGCTATTACATATGCTGGGAATTTATATTATTTTAGGTACTGCAAAATCAAAATATCAAACAGATTAAATATATTGAACAGAAAATATGTTGATATCAATAGCTGTAACAGTGAGTTTTACTAGCAGAACAGAATCTAGTTGTATGGCTGCTTTAGAAAATAAAGAAACATATCCTGTGATACATTTTTATCCAAAATAACTGAGCCAATACAGAAAACCAACCAATTAAAGCTGTGTCTGCAGTAACACAATGTTATTTAGTATTGATTTGTAAGTAAATACTTCTCAATATTATAAACATTCTTATCTGATACCTGGAGACCAGTAGCTGTAAAGGTCAGATGATCATTGCATATCTCAATAACAATATGTACACTGATTTTACTTTTATGCCTCTTAAAACTATACATGCTCATATTTTATACATCTGCAAATCTTCAGCCTCATGCTGCTCCTTTGATTTCTACATGATTGGCATATTTACATAATTGCGAAAGGATATTTCCCTCCTTGGAAGAATGCTTTCTATACTTATTTGGTTAAAGTTAATGCAGAGAGGTTTCAAAGAGTTCGAACGCAATGACGGGCCTCAGAAGAATCACACAGATCTATGCAAAGTTAATTTCCATGCAGAACTTGTACACAGAAAAATGTACATTTGCAGAGTAGAAACATATTTAAAACAGCTGTTAAATAAATGTAAAAGATTTGTGATCTTGGACTACAGGGGGCAGTATTGCTTCAGTGTGCAACTCAGCTAACCAAATGTAGCTGTTTTCATTTATATTTCATCCTTTTTGTGCCATTCTTTAACTCAGGGAAGCAGAATAATTGTAAAACATACTAAAGATTAGTTTTTCTTTCATTGACTAATTTATTTCTCTGTCTCTATTTTTAGATCAGTCTCAGGTTAATGTATGCGATAGGATCCTGAGTTCCTTCAAACTAAATGTTTCCTTTTCCCTCCATCAATGATTAGTGAGGAAGCTTTGCAGATGCACTTTTCAAAAGTTAATGTACCAGCAGTAGCAGAGGGCATGTAGTCAGTGCATTCACACAACGTGCATTTATGAAAAACCCACGTGATGGTTCATGTCTCAGTTTTTCCTTATGCCCTGTTGGAAGTGTAAATATGTTCACTTTTAGCTTGACACCATACTGCTTTGCAAATACTGAACTTTCTGTTCTCTGAAAATGGTTCCTCTAAAGATCCAGAGACTAAAACTTGAATATTAGAACGTCATATTTTGATTTTTTTCCTATTTTTGATAACACAAACTCAAATATGTATTCAGAATTACACCTAGGTTTATTTTTATAATCTCCCATGGCCTCTGTAACATTACCTTGGTTAATTTAAACACACCAAATATCTAAAAATGCAGCATTCCAATAAAATGTTTTTAGTTCAGTGCAACAAAGCTAATAAAAAACAAACAACAAAAAAAACAAACAAATATTTACTGCTGACAGTTTTTGTGCTGAACTGACCTGGTCCGTAGGGCTGCAGGTACCAGGTCCGCCCGGTGCGACCGGGCTGGATGGTGGTGGGCATGGTGGGGTTAATGGCACGACTGGTCTTTACATCTCCTTTCTTGTCCCCTGCAGTGGGAATCTCCAGGATTGGGATGGGGGCACACTGGTCCAACTGTCCCGCAGCAGATAGGACCTCAGTAAAACCCTCCTCGCATATGCACACCCCAGCCTGCAGTGGGCAGTACAAAGTATGGTTTAATTTATTAAGAATGTGAATGGTAGGTTTAGAGTTGAAGTACTGAGATCCTGTGAAAGACTCAAAATTCTGGATGGATTTGTTACTGTTTGATCACAGGCTGTACAGCTGTAGCTCAGTAAATGCTTCCTGATGTGTCTTCACATTTCTATTAAACTCTTAGAAGAACAATATAATTTTAACAGATTCTCTAAATTTTTAATTCTAAAAATTAGGGCTTGACATTTCTAGTGAGTTGACAATGGTTAGCCTTATAAGGGCTATTAAATATGAAACTGATTCTCAATAATCTAAATAAAAAACTGAGCACACAGAGGTAAGGAATTGCTTTTTCCACCCCTGAATTCATATAATCTGTTTAAATTCTAACAATCTTTTCACTGCTCAGTTTAAACTCAGCCAATACAAGCCTAGCTGTGCTTCCACTTCAATGTGCTTTAAATTTCAAAGGAAATTATAAAAAGAGAAAATCAACATCTAAAATGTGATGCTTTTGGATGAAATTTTAAAATACTGGTTTTGTTAATTATGTTAATTAATAGGAAGTTGATGTTTAATCAGTTCCCCAAATTATACAGTTGCAAAGAGATAAGGATCAATGAGGCACATCTTTTCCTGCTTTTTTCAGGCTTAGAAACTGAAACACTCAAAGGAATTTAAAGGTAAGTTTTGATCAGCAAAAAAAATAAAAAAAAATAAGTCAGTACTTGTCAATACTTATCAATACTATACAAAAAAACAACAACAAAAAAACAACTTTGCAGTACTATAAGCTTAAAATCTTTCCTGCAATGTCAATACCTTCTTTGCATAGATCCTGGAATGTATTTGGGCCTGGATGGGTTGCTTTAAGAATTTTCTTTCTGCTAAACCTTCACCCGAGTCTAAAGACTCTTTCCTTCGGAAGGTTTTTCTTTTGGCTAAGTCTTAAATGGAGTGCATGACTAATAGTTTTTCTGTCAGATTGTTCAACCTGGCCTTGGTAGCCTCCTCCAAACATACCATGAACTTCTAGGTTACTTTTCTTATTAATGCACTCCAGCTCAACTATTTAGTTTAGGTTTGCAGTTGTGACATACCCTTTACTTATTTGGCCGATTTAACACAAGAATCCTAGGATTAGAACTTACTAACGCCATGCATCATTCCTTCTCTAGAGTTAAAGATAATTAGCGTTATATCCCCCAAACACAGAGAGGTTGCTGTGATTTTCTGACAGAATTTTTAAAATGGTCCTGGTGGTATGAACACTTTTGCAAGGCACCATTTTTACCAAACTCATCCCAAACAGCATTTTATCCATATTCTTGCATAATCAAGTCGCTATCATATTAAGTAGCTTTAATTCTTGTGTCATATTTTTATTAATTTCATTTAACAACCTTAATGCATCCCCAAGGGGGATTAAAGGAGGCACCTAGAGAATACACCAAGTAAATAGGCTGGACAAATGATTAAAAATTGAAAGTTTTGCCAGCAAACTTCTCTTCCTTATTCTGGTGCAGCATAGCTTAGGGACACATTTCAGAAACGGATTTTACATTTTGATGCCACCAACATTTCCTTTCCCATCATTTATATTCAAACCTGTAGGTAGGAAGCGACAGACTGCCAGTCTTCAGGGCCACCTGCACTTTCAGGTTCAGCTACTGGGTTTACCGGGTTTCTGATGTGGATTCTAAAAGATTTTGGCTCAGGTTTGTTTTGATACAAGAATGTTAAAGGCTTACTTCACTGCAGAAGGACTTTGGCTTGAGACAGGGAGGGTCACAGGAGCTGTTGTCTACTGGAGGGTTCATTGCAGGACAACCACCTGCATGTCAGAATAGAAAACAGCTGATGTTATATGCAAAACAAATCCATCTGGCACTGCTTGCTCCTTAAATCTATGGGTAGTGTTCTTTTATTAAGAGGCCTTAAAAGTCATCTGTAACTTAACTATAAAATACTGCAGCCTTGTTTGTTTTTTAAACAGTTTCAGGTTAGCATCATGATGTATTATTCATGAGGTAATCGCAGCATGGTGTGCCATCACCCACAACCTACACTCCCAGCAAAAACAAAGTCTCTAGTCTCTGATTTTTTTTTTCTTTTTCTGCTGTATTTTTGACATGTTTTGCTAATTTCACCTCCTACATGAAACTGCCACCAGTGGTTTATACTTGTTAAGCCTTGGAGCTGCTGCAGTTTCTCACCTTTAAAAGATAAATTTAGCTTCACCATCTATTATTCAAAAACACTATGAAAATGTGATTTCATCTTTTCCAACTAGTAGCTTCCTTAAAATACACAAAATATTTGATGTTTCCATTTCACATAACGGTATGACTTCAGTAGGTTAAGAAGATGACACAGATGGGGAATTTATTTCCTCTATATTTTGATAATCAACAGACAAAAGTTAGGAAATGCACAAATCCAGGTATTTTGAAGCATTAGAGCAAATAATCTTGGTCTATAAAACCATTTTTAACTTTCTGTTATTGCTTTAAACCTTTAGCTAAATAAACACAGGAAACAACCTGTAGCAAGATTCTAAAAATGATTTAAATAAATGTTAAATCATCACCTGTTGATTTCATCCACTCAATTTAAACAAAATAAAATTTAGTTCCGGTAAAATTATCTAACTAATGAAATGTAATTTATTTGAAATCATTTATGCAGCAACTGTAAAACAAACTTTTGGGTTATACAGAAAAAGTTAGTCGTTTTAGTTGAATAATCGTATTGGAAAATTCAATGTAAATAAAAAATATATTCTCTATTTTAAAAATAAATATGATTTCCCAAAGATTTTGCCTCCAAAATACCTAAAGTTTATTGCAACAGATTTATTCCTTCATCTCATTTGTTCTGATGTCTTTGCTTAGAAGCACACCTGACTAAATGTTCAAGTCAGATCATCAAAGGATCAATTCCACTGACACATTTCTAACTTTGTAATCCCTCAAGCTCGTTATCAACGTAACAGAAAGCCTACACAGCCTGATAGCCTATAAAATTGTCTTCAAATCACCACAATAGGACTTCTTATATTTTTAGGTATTGTACCATTTAATCCATATGTAGAATTTTTATTGCTACTTGAGCATGAGAGTAAAGTGTTGAATGATAAATTGAAGGCATACAGAAACTCTTAACTCATTAAGACCAAAGATGAAATAACTTCTGGGCTAATAACTTCTCCTATTTTTGGATTATATTTAGCTGGGATTAGCAGAAATAAAAAAGTACAACTGGTTTAGGATGGTTCAGTGGTTCTGGAGGGCTGATATCATGTATGCTGGAAACTTTCTTTACTTTAATTAGATTTCTGGTACATTAACAGTTTCCTTCTGAACTTAGTGAAAAATGTGTCCATTTGGTAGGGGACCAAATGCTAAAACATCATCAGCAGCACCCCCTGCATGTGGCGCCCTCTGTTGGACAAGATACAAATTTGCAGAATTAAAAAAACTTAAATGTATGTATTATGAAATGCAATCTCTATACATAGTCAATATTTCCCTCCAAGAGACAATAAAATTAAAGCTCAATAGTTATAATTATTTGCCATGATCTGCCCTGCTCTTACTGTTTTGACCATGGTTATGCAATGGTTAGCGCTCTGGAAGAACATCGGGCTCAGTCGTGATGTGTTACACTTTTCAATGATTTAAAGCTGTTCCTACAGGAACAGCTTTATGAAAATGAAGGAAGTAGGAGGAAGAAAAATAGGCCTAATGCTGGGCTATGTAGACTAAATAGATTTAGCAAAAATGGTATTCCAATTAGCTAGCAGCATCAACAATGCTGTGAAAACATGCCTCGTCACAGCTGTTGATCCTACCATGCATAGACTATCACTAGATGATACATAAAACAGTCTCCTAACTTTTGACAATTAAATTTTCCTTTGAATCGTGTCCAGATGAGACCACGCCCGCTGACGGGCCAGGTTATAGGGTGTGGGCCCTGAACCAGCCTCCTACTGTACAGTAAATATATGGCCAAGAACATTCTCTCTTCCAAAAAATGTTTGCAAGCACATACTGCTTTATTCTCAAGATACATCAAATATTTTCCTCTTATTGGATTCTTTTCTTCTGATTATTCACAGAATTAGGGAAGTACCTCTACCAGTCATTCCTTCAAAATGGTTATGCCTATGACAGGGGACTATAATTAAACAAATGTAATATTTTGCTCAAATCTTACTATTTTCTTTAACTAATAAAATAATCAGCTTATATTCTAAATATATATGCAAGGTATAGTGTTGTCGGAAGCAATAGTGATACTTATAACAATGTTATGCAATCGGTTTTATTCTTTATATTTCTAGTTTGTAAAGTTATAGCTATTGCATATGTGTGAAGAATTTTGACACAATTGTCTAAACTGATAAAAGTTATAAAATAAAACTGCCCCAGTTGATTGCAAATGAATATTTCTAAATGTATAAAACCAATATCGTACCGGTGACATTTAGTCCATCTGAGCGTTGGCACCAGATAAAGGGACGGCTGGAGTTTGGACGACTGCTGCTGAACCACTTGTACTCGAAACATTCTCCTCCTGCAGACAGAACACAGACAAAGTCAGCATCGATAACCACAGCACAGTTAGAGTTGGAGTGTGGAGTGGAGACCATTAATCACATGTGTGACAGATTAATAAAGCAGCTGCTTCATTAATCTGTTATTTTACATAATAAGCTGCTGTCACATATTGTCCAGTTAAAGTTTTTAATCTTGACTGAGAGCCTTTGCTTAATAACTTTCTATCAATGCTATTATAACTTTATCAATATCTCCATCAAGCCAGGAAATGACTGTATTTCCCTCTGGAGTCCTGAGTAACCAATCATAATTGCAGCCAATTCAGCTGCGTAAATGAACAATTTAGCTTTGAACAAAAGAAGGATCTCCTCTCTGCAGGCCAGGCTACAGTTGCAGTGACTATCTGCTGCTTTCACAGGACGATTTTTCAGCAGCTGACACGACTTCATTCTTAATGTTCATCCCTTTTCAAATGTCTTTAATTTGTTTTCTTGCTCTGCAGCTGAAGTTGTTTTTCAGATGTGTGAAGCTATCACTGATCTCAGCTGACACCTCCCACCATCTTTTACCAACAGATTAGAGATTTACTGAGACACAAACATTTATTTTAGACTAAGAGTACACATTATTTCCAGTGGCAGAAAAAAATAAAGGCTAAAAAATCTAAATGATGATAATTTTAGACCACAAATCACTTGACTTGAAGATTGAACTTTTACACCATAGTTCCCAGCTGTACAGAGTGCAAAGTCCCAGCAGCAGAAAGTCCCAATTCAGACCTTCTTAGCACTAAAATCTGTGTCAGAACAGGTAAGATGTTGGTGTTTTTTTTAGAAGAAATGTAAAGATTTTTGTTAAATAGAATACATTTTTTAACAGCCACCATTCTTAATGTCGGCAAACATTATATCCTTCATCAAAAAGTGTTATCTTTTCACTGATGAATATTTAGCATTTTTAGCAGCATCAGGTTTGTTTATTTTCTTCTATTTTTGATCAGAAAAAATATATCATGAAGGAAATGGAATATTTGATCTAAGCTGGATCTTCTGTTGGTTTTAAAATCTTTAATTCTTGGCTTTTTTTATTGTCTTATTTTTGTGTGTAGTCTGTAGTGTCTTTATTTTATATTTCTTCCAGCTATCAGTTTATCTCCTTAAAGTTGTGTGCAAGGAAATAGTCTGATCTATTCCTTATATAGTATTGACCGCAGATCCATGGCATAGTAGGAATTGATGTACGGTAAAAGTATGGAAATGGAACATCTGTTTTTTTTTTTTCATGTGAGCATCCCATCAGTTCCCTTCTTTTGTCCGTCGCCGCCCTCTTCCTTCTAACGCCCCCCACTCATCTTGGCAGGGCCTCTACTCCCCCCTCTGGGCCTTGAGTGAAGCTGTGAAATCAGGTCAGGATAGCAAAGGCTGCTTTGGAGCTGTGTACAGTAGCCAAGGAGAGAAGAGTGGAGGAGTTGGATGCCAGGGTTGGAGGAGGAGATGTGTGGGGGAGTGTGCTTTGCTCTGCAGACCTAAGCCATTGCAGCTGCATATGCTGATTCACAGCTCATCAACACTAAGAATCAGAGATCACAACAGTATTTGTGTAGCGTAAGCTCACTTTGGAGATCTGATCTACAAAGTCCCATCTGAAAAGGCACAAATTAACCTGACTTGCACAGAGAAAACAAGGTGAAATCAATTCCACTTGTTCTGCTTATGTTGGGGCAGAGTACCAAAAGCTGCCCTGTGGATAGCACTGCTGCCTCCCGAAGAGGAAAATCTCTACCTGAATCCAGTCCTGAGCACAAATGGAGCATGTTTTTCCTTTGGGCTTCTACTGGTGTCCCAGATTCCTCCAACATCCAGGTTCAGAGAGAAGGAAAAGCCTGCAGGTGAATCCAAGTGTCTCTCTGCGTTTACCCTGTGATGCATTGACAAACCATCCCCTGCCTTCAACCTGTAATAACCTGCGACTGACTTCAGCTCACTACCAGAAGGCAGATTAAAGTCTACAAAAGAAAACAGCAACTCTAGTCTTCAGCCATTAAATGTGTGCAACACATCTCTTGAATACTGGTTTCTTACATATTATTACAAAAACTTCTATTGACCATACTTGGTATACCTTAATGATGACAGAATACTGTGTATTTTAATGACTGCATGATTTTTATAAAGGACGGCAATGATACAGTTAAAGTGCTTAATAAATGTTCAAGCTAATTATTTACTTGGTTTTCAAATATTTACAATGAAGTTCGAAACCCTGTAAATGTTTGGATAGCTAAGGTATGAGTGAACCAACTGATCGATAAACTTCTTGAATATTTTTTATACAGAGTATTTTCTTATATGTATCTTGTAGCGACCAAAAACTTTGATTTATTAGATAATTACTGCTTAACTGAAGGTAAAGGTAATTTTGTTTATGGATCTGGACTTTTTTCCTTCATCCATTTTGCTAATTTATCTGAAATTGAATGTAGAGCAGCTATGAAGGGAATTCTCCACCCCATTGCCTTTATGTGCAATTTAACAAAATCCTTTGCATTTGTATCAGTTGGACAACATTTTATTTATAAGGATCAGGAGAAAAGGAGCCGAGTACACATCACCCTATTTATATTTTATAAGTAAATCATTTTGAGACTCCACAAAAATGCACAATGTTGAGTAATCACTCAACAAAATGCAGTGAAGATAGTAGCCGTAATTAGTAGCCTACTAAACTAGCCCCACCCGCCAGCGGCTCACATCATCTTTGCCTGTGAGTGGTCTAGCCTCGATCAATGCCCCTTGCCCTAGAACTGGCGGGCCAATCACAACGTAGAGATGTGTTTTGAATTTTTGCATGTAAAGCGGGCGGGGTGACAAAGCTGGAGAAAGCACAACAAGGAAGATGGAAACAACTATTGAACAGTTTTCCTTTGACTCCGCTTTGGAATCAGTTTTGGAAGTATTAGACTTGGGGTTTTCGTTGAAACCTGAGCAGGAAGAGGCTCTACGCTCATTCATTTTTAAGAAGGATGTATTCGCCGTTTTACCGACAGGCTGTTTTTTCTCAATATTGATCGACAGCTGTCCCAGCATGCACTGCGGCAGCAGCAGCTTTCAATGGAGCGCTCAATTTAAAGTTTAAAGTCTCTTTTATATTGTTCAATAAAAGTAAGTTTTAAGATCATTTGAGGCGAGAATATTATACTTTAAAGCTTCACTATATGGTCCATTTACCGATTTAATGCGTAATAAAAAATAAAAAAAAATCCGGAAGTTTAAAGGACCGCAGCAACCAGCGGACCTCCAAGACTAACCGCAGCCTGCCTGAGCAGCCCTCTCTCGGGCATAGCCCTGTTTGAAGTAGCGCTGGCTCTGATGCAATGACAATTTTTTTGTTTTATTTTGCAAACTGCTCATTTGATTTGTATTTATCAGACTGTGTTAATTATTATTTCCCCACTAAATGAAAAAATTACTAATTTATTATTTTCTAGAAACTATTACTAACAGGAGGTGAAATGCAGCTTTAGACGAGCCAAGCGTGTGGTGACGTCACGAGTACGCATCTGTTCCAATTGACCCATATTTATGCTGCGTGCGCCCGTTCTCACCAGGTCTATACTTTCCTGTGTTCTTCTCAAGAACATACTTGGCAAGGACACAAGTCTGTACTCGCGTTCTACTGAATTGCCAATCGGCCACGGCCTTTGTCTACACTACCCACCAGCTTTCTGTCACGCTTCCTACATCACAGTCAGTTGCGCTTATTGGTCCGAGCGTTGGCCAATAGGCACAGACATGGTTTGAAAAAGAAAGGGTTGTTCTCATCAACAATCTTCCGATGTCTCATTCATCGGGGCCAGACTAAATTACACATTTAATCTCACATTTAGTCTGGTTTATCAACCTAAGCCGTGATGTGATGGAGACGAGCAACTATTGCATGGCACTATCTTCCAGTGAATGTGGAAGAAGTTGTGAAACATCTTTGAGAAGAAATATTTGACAAAACCATCACTCTGCCCCTTGATTGATGTTTGAGCTAAACAAGTTACTGACAGAATCAGTAAGTATATTAGCAGGTGTCAAACATGTGATGGTGCCTTCGGAATGCAGGATGCAGACATATCTGGTTGGAAATATAACCTACCATTTAAAGTTTAGTTTTTTGGTTGGAAAAGACCAACAGGATCTAACCTGACCTCAAGGTCATAATTCTGTATTTAACCCTTTTTTTTTGGCAGAACCATGGCTACATTTAGACAACAGTCACCTTAGCAGTGAGGGCAAAAAAGAAAAAAAGAAAAAAAAAAAGCAATTAAAAAGGAACAGTATCAAAGTTTTACAGCTCAACTTTCTTCTCAAAGCTTTCTGACCAGGAAAGAAAAAAATCATCTTACCTGTGCAAGGCTGCGACTCCCACGCCTGGTCTGGACATAGCTGCAGGTTTTCAGGCTCCTGGGCCAGTACGGCGCGTGACCGGACCTGAACCGAGCCAAAGTCTACACCAGCTCCTTTTACACAGATGTTCACACATGAACTCCAGTCAGACCACTCCATTAGGTAGCATTCACCTGCAGCAGAGAAGAGAAAATATGATACCACGATTGAATCTTATATACATAAATTTAACTTTCAGTCATTTACAACATATCCGATTATATACATCCTGACACACGGTCTTTTTAAGGTTTGGTTTCAGTTTTCTCCTCCACAATCAACAAAACCCTCAGTTACTGATTTAACACAATGGCAGTATTTAACAAAAAAGAAAGAATAGAATAAATTAATTACAACAAATGCAGAGATCAGAAAAACAGATGCAAATAAATAAATACTCAAAAAGAAAAAAGCAGGCATCCACAGACATTTCCTCTACTTCGCTGTTTATTAAATGTGTCTCCTTCATGTTTGAGCTGCAGTTTCACTTAGTTTTTATTGTTTTCACAATAATTCAAATATTTCTCCATCCCAGCTTTGGTTTGGATGTTTGGAACAGAGTTCTGTTTTAAGTTTGTCACAGAAATGCTTTACCATTTTATCAAGTTAAAATGCGTGATGTGTTTGGGTGTTTATCTGCTGGGTGTGTATTTTGATATTGTATCAAATGGCTGAAATGCTTTGAAGAGATTCAGGAGGTGTGGATTTTAAGATGAAGGAGGGGTTGGATTTGATCAAAGCTGACATCCACTGTGCATCAAACAGTTGTGGAAACAGAAACAGAACATTAGGTGAAGAAGATAGTAGTATATAGAAGTGTATTTGTTAGTCTGGAGATGCAGTCTGCTTAAGTTACCAGACTAACGCCCTGCCATGCGCAAAAAAAGGAGTTCAGCTTTCTTTCCCCCTCGCCCTTAGTCACGTTCTCTAAGTTTTAGATTGCAGTTTGATACTTCAGTGTTCCTGCAGTTTAGCAGAAAGGCGATGGACTCACTTGCTATCTAGGGCAGCTGCTCAGCATTTTCCATCTCTGAGAGCAGTACTTATGTGATGAGCTGTTTTTGAGAAATTCATCAGTGGAAACACTCCTAGCACACAGAATCTTAAAAAAAAATAAATCTTTTTAAACAGTGGTACTTTTAAATGAGCTGTGGGTTGAATACAGGATACGTTGTTTTCCCTTCTGCATGATGAACAATCAGTTTTGACCTAAAATAGACACACGGCTCTTTGAAAATGAACTCAGAAATTGTACTTTGTCTTTTGGCAGAGGAAAAGAAGAATAATCCCTCCTTCAGGGACTGCTGACACTGAAAATAACAGCTTTATAGTTAAGCAGCACTATGCAAAAATGCACTTTTTATCTGGCTGGATCATAAACTAGGGGATAAGTTCATTTTTGTGTCTCTTAGAAATGTTGAAGATTTGGCCCATTTAGCAAAAAAAAACACAAATTCGTTTCTCACTCAGAAGTCGTTTTTTTTTTATACGGTTCTTAAAGGAAAAGTCCGGTCACATTCAGAATGTAAACTTCTGAAAGTACTTATGACATACTTTTCAATTAATGATAAGACTTAGACTTAAGCTTAGAGATTTTATTATAATTTTATAAACACAAAGTGTATACAAAAGGAAATTTCGTTGAGTAAAGCCATGATAAAGGTAAGCAGTGATAATGTAAACATACAACTGTATATTAGTTACAGTTCCAACATTTAGGGTTTTTTTTTAATCCAATTTTATACAACATTCAGCAGTCCAATGGCAGTGGGGAAGAAATTATTCTGGAATCTGCTGGACCTGCATCGGATGCTTCGAATTCTCGTTCCAGAGGGCAGCAGGGAGAACAGTCCAAATTGATAAGCTTTTTAAATTACCGTAAGAGCAATTTCATTTGAATGTGCTTTACTGGAGACATCGATGTTTTAAGCCAAGTTGGTCAGTGAGCCCTTCCTACTGTCAATAAAATCAGATTGTTCCTGGGTTAAAACATGATTTTTTTTTTTTGCCAATAGGAAAGGGGTATATGTTTCCTTGACAGGTTCTTCTTTCGAGAAATGCTTATACTTCAACCAGTGGTTATCAGATCCTGATAGACAGATCCTCATTTGCATGTGAGCAACCACTTTCTGTTGTTACAATATTTTTTATGTACAAATAAAAGTTAATGTCTACTGAATGATACAAATGCAAAGTGACCTTCATATGTTTGCTTCAATTGTGTAACTTGACATTTTTGTTCTTTTTGTAAAGACTGTATTCCCAATTAGACAAACATCATCCATGAGCATTTCCATTATGTAATGTCTTTAAAGGAATAGTACACTCAAAACATGATTAGCCTTCATTTTCTACTCACCCCCATGCTGAACAACACTC